TTCCTAGGGTATGTGGGATCTTGAGCAAATTGTTTTTACTGATCCCCTAAATAAATGATGTGATTAAAAACATATTCCAACAAATCAAAACCACCATGAGGTACTACTTTACACTCACTAGGATGGCTCTAAAAATAATAAACAGAAAATAGAAAGTGTTGGCAAAACGTAGAGAAACTGAAACCCTGTACTTGCTGGCGGGGCTCAGCTGCTGAGGGAAACTGACCACGTGATGCAGCGAGTCCCCTCCTAGGTATGCACCCTAAGGACCTGAAAACAGGGGTTTAAACAACCTGCAACAAATGTTCATAGCAGTACTAGTCGCAGTAGCCAGAAGGTGGAACCATCCAAATCCCATCAAGGAATGAACGGATAAGCCAGATGTAGTCTGTCCATATAGTGGAATATTCTTCAGTCTCACAAAGAATAAAAATGCTGCATCGTTGATGAACCATGAAAACATTAGGCCGAGTGAAAGGCAGACACGAGAGGCCCCCTACTGTGGGAGTCAGTCCGTTCATAGGAAACGCCAGATTAGGCGAATCTGTAAAGGCAGAAAGTAGATTAGTGGCTGCTGGGGGCTGTGGGGAGGTGAGGAAGTGGGGTGCCTGCTTAGTGTTACAGGGTTTCCTTTTTGGGGTAACAAAAATGTTTTGGAACGAGATAGAGATGGAGGTTGCACAACGTTATGAATGTACCAAATGCCACTGAATTGTACACTTTAAAATGGTTAGTTTTATGGTATGTGAATTTTTCCTCAAAAATATATATTTACCCCCCCAAATGGCATACAATTCTTACAACTCAGACTGTTACAAGAATCTTGTATTGTCTGGGAAGAGAGTGAAAGAACTGATTAACTTCAGATTTGGATAAGTTAAAGATTCAAGTTGTAATTTTAGGGTAACCCCTAAAAGCGCAGACCAATATGGCAGAGGGAAAATAGTGGGGTGATTTTTTTAAAATCCGAAAGAAGACAGAGAAGCCACGGAAATGTGCCTCTGAGGTCTCCAACCAGCCAATTTGCCAAAACCAATTCACACGAAAAATAGGAAACCCTACTGGTTCAATAACTAAATAAACTGAATTAGTGATTAAAAACCTTCCCTCAAAGAGAATGCCAGATCCAGAGGGCTTCACTAGTGAATTCTACCAAACATTTAAATAAGAAATAAGTTTAATGTAACCAAAATGTCCCAAAAAATAGAACATGAGGAAACCCCCTAATTCATAGCATTCCTTGATACCAAAATTCAACAAAGACCGAACAAGAAAGGTACATTACAGGCCAATTTTACTCAAGAATATAAAGGCCCAAATGTCAGCATATTAGATTCAGCTATATAGAAAAGAAACAATATGTCATATTAAATTTATTCCAGGAATGCATGGTTGGTTTAACGTTTAAAAAGTAATAGTGCAGACCCAGACATTCTGCTTCTGGATGTGCCAAAAGAACCGAAAGCAGATCTCACAGAGAGACTTGCACACCACGCTCAGAGCGGCAGCACCCACAACCGTCAGAAGGGAGAAGCAGCCAATGTGCACTGACAGATGACTGGATAGAGAAAGGAACTGTGGTGCAGACGTATATGGAATGCTATTTAAACATAAAAAGGAAGGAAATTCTGACACCTGCTACAACATGGGTGAGCCTTGAGGACATTATGCTAATGACATTAAGTGAGACACGAAAGGACAAATCCTGTGTGATTCCACTTACACGAGGTATGTAAAGGGGTCAAACTCTGGCCCCAAACCATTGCCCGGCCTCTGTGCCCACTTAGCCCTGCACAGCTCACACCCCCGTCTCTGTCCCCCGTCTCTGTCCCCTCCCTCGACAGAGATGGGAAGGGTGAAGGTGGGGACAGAACCTGACAACTTTAGACACCTCACATAAGTGGAATCGCACAGGATTCGTGGCACCGAAGCAGGCTGCACAGTGAAAAGAAGAAAAAAAAGGAACATTTTTTTTTAAAAAGTAGTCAAATTCACATGAACAGAAAG